CCTGCTTCTGCTATACTTAAATATATTCAGTTTACTCATCAGATGTCCTTTTATGGATATTTGATTAAAATCCTTTCTGTTGCAGTTAAGAGGAGAAAAAGGACATTGTAGGGGAGATATGCTGTGGGTGAATGTATGGCATTGGAAGCTTTCCCTATATACTGCAAATGAAGGAATCATTTATCATATTGCAGAAGAAGCATAAGAAAATACTTTAGCTCATGTTATTTTAAAAATTAAGCTGTCATTATATGCTGACTATTACTGATAATAATTCTTTTTCAAAGAAGTGTAATCACTGTGATGTTTTAAAAGTTCATTTTGGTGTAACAGGAAAAGAGGAAAGGATCATAGACATATGTTGTCAGAAAGTTCAAGAACTCCAAAGTTCAAGACATTTCTTTCCATCTATTGCACTGAAGCTGTATCTTTTAAAACTACCATATGCTTGTTTAATCTATTCTTAAAAATCTTATCTTTGGGTAGCCTGCTGAAGTGCCTCATTACTCTTCATTAGAACATTTTTGCTGCTCTGAACCTAAAGTCTTTGCTGATTTCTACTTGTCCTTCCCCCTATGTGTGTAAAGAACAAATGTTCATCTTCCTTCTTTATAACTGCTTTTTAAGTAATGGAAGCAGTTATGTTTTCTACTTGCCAGACCATTCTTTTTTTGGACTAAATACATCTTCTATTTTTTCTCCTAAGTCATGCCTTCTAAAACCCTTTGCATTTCCACGTTTACTCCAGTTTTCCCCTCTGGAATTTGCAGTTTGTCAGCATCATTCTGAAGAGAAAGATATCCACAATGAACCTGAATCCTCTAGCTAGGGACTCCATACTACCAGTAAATAGGGCAAAGATAGCTACCTCTCTTCTCCTCTGTAGTTACCTCCTAGTACACATCCTGAAGCGAGACTGGTATTTAAGACAGCACGGCATTATGAATTTATAGTATACCACTGATCTTTTTATGCCCTTAATATATTTTCCGTCTGATCTAGCTGATTTTTCACCACTGGGAATGATGCATTCAGTTGAGTCATGGCTCTTATCCTCTTTGAGTACTTTTTGCTAGTCTGTTTGAATTTGTCTTGTTGAACAATCTTGTTAAGATTGTCCAGCTAAAATTGCTCAGTACGCTGTGCTTTGAAAAAGCAGGAGCTATGCTTCACTAATCATTTGGAGATTTCAAGAAATCTTTTCATATGAGAACCTGAAAAAACTGTTTGGAGGTCCATCCTGTGTTCATGCTCCAGTTCCATCTACAGATTGTCACTCTTTTACTTGTTTGCCTAGTCTGGCAGATCAAAACTCAATATAAGGACTGTACAGGTTCCGCTGCAGTGGAAACACTGAGAAAAAGAAGATATTATAGAATAAAACAGATGTCATGGTTTGAGCAGGCCCAAAATCCAATTCTGATTCCTAGCCCCCCCACCCACATCTCAACCCCATGTGAGATGGGTTTTCCAGACAAAAACACGAGACTCAATATGGGGGAAGGAATATATTACAAAGACTATACACATAAATAAATACTATAATACACTGCATACAATCTTAACTCTATATCTATCTCTACCATGACAATAATATTTACAATGGGCCCAATCTCTTCTCCCTCCAAATAAAAGTCCAGGAGAGAAGAAGAAGAAAAGACCCCTTCCAGTCTCTCAGCAACAGGTCTCTCTCTAGGCAGCAGGCTTTCTTCTTCTCTTTCAGGCAGCAGTTGCAGCTGGATCCTTGCCAATACACACGAGGGGGGTCTCCAAGCCCCTCTCGGCCCTCCGTCTTCAAAACGGGGGTCTTTCCGTGGACTACGTAACCCCAGACAAGGTCGTTCCACCACGGTCATATCACGAAGCACGGGGGTCTTCGTGACAGTCTGGTATCTTCAGGGGAAATCAAGCCCCTTCACAGAGCTTCTGTGCTCTGCTTCAAAGATGGCTGCCAGCTTCTCTGAAGCTGCAGCAAGGAGGGGGGGGGGGAAGCCCAAGGTCACCCCCTCCACACTTGGCCATCCTGGCTGAGCTCTCAGGAGGCCGGAGCTTCTTAGCTCCTCTCTGTAGTGCATACTGCACTTTAGGACTCCACTCAGTCCACCACCCCCTCCTCTTTCTCAGAGGGGTCTCTAGCGAGTTTGGGGGTTTTGGTTTGTCCAGTTCTTACCCTCCGAAACTCTCTTCCTGCTGCTGGCTCGGGTCTCTTGTCCTGCTTTCTGCTGCTGGCTCTTTTCGTTTCCTCAGACAACTCTGTGTCTGCTTCAGTTGCATACCGGCATCTGCTGCTTCTCTTGGTTCTTATCAGTTGGCTCTTTGCCACTGCTCTTCGGACACTGCTGTTCTGCTGCTGCTCCGTCGCTGCTCCCAGCGTCTCCCACTTCTACTTACAGGGGAGAAACTCCCCCAGTTCCTAGCCGCAGGCACTCAGCCCAGCTTCAACACCATTCCGAGTCCCTGCAGCCCCCCAACTGGGGGCTGGGGGGGGGCAAAGCCCCCAGGGGCCCTAAGCCCCTGCTTCGTGGCTTCTACAACATGGCCACCCCTTCTTCTCACAACAAGTACCACTACTTCTTTTCCGGTCTCCAGAGATATGTTTATATTTTGCAGGAGCACTGATTGGGTCAAGCCCCAAGGGTCACCACCCCCTGGGGGTTACCACTTTCCTAGTTTCAGGGGGAAAACCTGGCTCAAACCACTACAACAGATTTCCCAGTTCTATGTTTTTCAGTTTCCATCAGGTGTGTTCTGCACTGTCACCCACAAAATTCATTGTTAAATAGTGATCATTATTCATGGATGCTCTGGGCAGAATTTCAATCTGTTCACCAGATCTGCCTATTGATATTGTTCATTAGCTAAAATACATCATAGCATCATCTCCCTCCTCATGTTGCAGGAGGATTAGCTTTAATGTTCACTAGGCAGCTTTAATGTTCACTGGCAGAAAAGGTGATGGTAGACAAAGTCAAGGCAGAACTGAGTACAGGGAACCATATGACTGTGGAAGTGGACCACTTCTAATCAGGTAAATTAATCTTGCTTGCATGCACTCAGAAGGCAAAAGAGAAACAAGTTTTCCTGTCCTCTTCTCAGCTATTCACTCTATTTTCCTCTGCTGAAGTTGCCTGTTGCTCCAGTTTTGAAAACTGATGACATACTGTGTGTCTCCACCTTCTGAGAGAGAGGGCGTAAACCTCTTGTAGAGAATGCAGCTTAAGCAGGAACTGGAAAGCTATTTTAAATTGATAATAAAAAAGATAAATGTATGATCACTTGTTGAGATGATAATCAGGAAATGTTATTAGTACTAATGTTTATTATCACAAAAGCCAAGCCTAATCAGCTTTTAAATACATAATTAAATTCATATTTTGATAGTTTGCTGAATCTGGACTGTGTTTTAGTTGGGAATCCCAGGGAGATTGCCAAGTTAAAAATATATCTAAGGAGCCCAAAGCTGGTGCGGAAACAGTACTGCCACTCAGCACATAGAACACTCTATGGAGTGTTTTACAGAGATCTTCAGTTCGCAGAGGGAAATCCAGAGCAGTCTTTTCAGGAAAAATGTGCACATGCAGCTGCAATCTGACTGAATGCCAAGAGGCTGAAGCCATAATTTGAGTTTCATAAGTAAAGCTACTTGTGCACAGTTAAGTGAATTATTTGTTTCTTCTGAGGTAGAAGCAGAATGATTATGAAATCATTAATACAGTCTTGGAAGAGTTTATTTTGTTTTGGCTTGCTCTTCTCCAGTACTTAGTAATCATACTCATGAAGGATAAATTCCAGAAAAATAATTGAAAGGAAACAAGGGAAGAAAAGAGAAAGATTTTTTTTCTTTTTGCAGCAGTAAAAGCAATGCTGTGGTATAACCATGACAAAGAATGATAATATAAAGCCTGTTTCAGAAATCTTCTATGAGAGGTTTTCAAACAGTGGGTAACTCTAATGTCACTTGAACTAATAAGGTATGCATTACAACTACTTTTCCCTAAAAATACCAGCTAGTTTTATTTTTACAGTACACCTATAAATAAAAAGAAAAAAAAAGTGAACTGCTCATAGGCAAAGTAATTGAAGGGAACCTTATAGTTTTTGTTTTATTTTGGTTTTTTTGGTAAATGACAAAAGCACATTAGACTTATTAAATGCTTTACACTGACTTTCAAAGCACTTTAAAAATTATTTAAAAATCATGCTATTAGGTTAATTCTTATATTCAGTATTAATTAACTGGGAATCAGAACCTTCTGTCAAAAAAAGTAAGGGGAGAGAACCAAAGAGAAGATATTATACTGCAAAATCTTATGTTGTAAGGCAGAAATTAGTGTGACTTATTTTTGGCGGAGGTAAGGTACATGGTTTACCCACAGTTATAGTAAAACAAAAAGGCGGAGCTTGTAGGCTGTTTGTTCTATTGCATATAATTTAGTTTATTTTATTCCGCCTCTCTGATAAGGTTTCCTAATTCATCTCTTTGGTTTTGATCATCAGGGACAGGTGAGGAGAGGAGAGGTTTTATGGAAGGAAATTGATCTGTAAAGATATTGTCTCCTTTTTGTTTTTAGACGTATCCACTAGGGAAATATCAAATCTCTCAGTCCTAAGAGTAGGGTTTTTTTTGTTGTTTGTTTGGGTTTTTTGTTTGGTTTGGTTTTGGTTTTGTGGCAGTGCAACATTTCTATAAGTTCATAGTTTGAACCTCTCTGTGAGGTTGTGGAAGTGACAAAACACAATACTCTTTCTTAGCCAGGTCAGACTCAATAGAAGAAAAAAAGAAAAAAAAAAGATGCACAAAACAAGTGACCTGGGTGATTCTCAACATCTTCTAGGGAGAGCAGCAGTTCCTTTGGAACTATCAAAAAGGAGAGCCGTCTAACCAATGGAAGAGGTCATTACAAATTCAGTTACCATGAGTTCTTACAGTACGTCCAGCTTCTATTTCTCTGCTGCTGACAAGTCAGAAAGGGTTAATATGTGGAAGCTTCTTGTATGTCACATTGTGTATCCTCCTTTCTTTTCAAGACCTGCTCTCCATTTGTTTCTCTTATCTGATGAGACAGATGGGTAAAACTACCTACAAGCAAAACAAAATTTATGATGAAAAGCTAATGAAAAAAAGCAAAACAAACAGCAAAATAAGAGGCAAAACTCCCCAAGCTTCAAATCCTATACTAAAATAAATTTTCTTAATTCTTTAATGAAATAACTACAGTTTGTTTACCTCTTAGGATTAAGAAGAAATATGTTCCATGTCTTAAGAAAAAGTTTGTAAAAAACCAAAAAGAATTGTAAATATGGGAGTACATTGCTACAATGAATTATGTAATATTTAATATTTTTCAAAACATCAGGAAGAGAGACATTTTCATGTTTCCTTAAAACAAAAATACAACTGAAAAATAAAAGAAGTGTCTCTTTCTTCAGAAATAGTCACAACTGTATAACTGGAATATGAATTCATACTATGCAGAAAAAAGATGGAGAGGATGGTGATGTCAAGCCACAGCCTATACAGTCAAGATCAGATATACTTAGAATTTTTTTCATTCCACTTACTCTTTACTAGTAATGCTCTTTGTCCATAATATTAACTCACAATACCTGTCAACAATTAAATCTGACCATACAAATCCTGCCTATTTCTGCTACAACTTAATTCACAAATGTATGTAGTCCACTATCTGTGGTCCTCTCACTATGGTATTTTTTTTCCTTTTTATGAGCATTAAGTTATTAATATAACAGAAAAGTAAAAGATGGCAATATGCCAAAAATTGCAATAAGTACTTGGAAAATAAAAATAGTATTTAAATTCTGTCTATCAACACCATCCTGGGGTGCTTTAGGATAAGTGTTTTCAGCAAGTTTGAGCTGGTGATCCATCCAGTCTACTCAGCTCTGGTGAGACACATCTGGTGTGCTGGGTCCAGTTCTAGACTCCTCAGTAGAAATAAAATGTAGACTTACTGGACCAAGTGCAGTGATGGGCCATTAAGATAATTAAGGGATTGGAGGATGTCTTATTACAAGGAGAGGCTGAGAGAGCTGGGGTTCCTCAGCCTAGAGAAGACCTGGGGGAATCTGATTGCACATATTTATATTTTATATATATTTACATTATAAATACCTCATGAGTGGGGATGAAAAAGAGAAAGATTCTTCCTGATGGTGCCTAGAGAGAGGACAAGAGGCAGAGGGCACAAATTTAAACATAGCAAATTCTGCTTAAAAATAATAAGAGTGATCATAATGAATGTTCATAATCTCAATCTAATGAGACATGAGAGTGAACCAACACGAGAAGATATTTACTACACAGGCTGTGTAGTCTCCATCCATGGAGATATACAAATCCCAGCTGTACATGATCCTTAGCAACTTGTGCTAGCTGACTTGGCTTTGGGGAGTGCGTTGGACTTGTCAATCTTGAGGCCCTTTCCAGTCTTAACAATTCTGTGATTGATTCTGTGATTTCACAGGTAAACAATTTTTTATAAGAAAAATTTTTCCCTCTATTTCTATTTCATAAATTAGTGTTACTTTATAGAGAAGAAATTTATTGAAATGAATCCTTAATTTCTGAGAGAAATAGGATCAAAATTTTTTGCATAAACTTACCTAAGAATTTCCAGCTAATACTGTTATATTCTAGCTCACAATAATGTTCTTAGAAATGTTCCGTACAGTATCTTAGTATTGATATGTTCTACTTCATTGTCTTTTATTTTAAAAATTGGACCTAAATGGCTTTGGTCTAAAATATATCTGCTGTGAATGGCTCAGCAGTCACGTCTCTGGAAATTCAAGAAATGCAGGGCAAGTTCTTCTATGCTTTATGTACTGTCCTGGCAGCAGTGGGATGAGCTGGTTGTTATTCCTGTCTTAAAACTAAGATATGTAGAAACTTGCTTCTGTTTTTGGATTTTATTTTTGTTTGTTTATTTATTTTTGGTTTTGTTTTTTTTTTTTTTTAAATAATATTTTTCATCTCACTGGGAGAAGGGTTATTTGTTTATTTGTTTATTTAGCTATTGTTTTTTTACTCTATTCTTGCTAGCTGTTGCCTCCAGAATACAAATTTGGAGCAGACAAAAGAAATAAGTTTCACTTAAATGTAGCAAAGTTATTTAGATGTAGATTTCTGCTGTCCTTTTAGGAATGGTCTGGCATCGAGTTCTTTATCTAGCAAAGAGCAGATGTATACTGAGTTCTGTGTCTGCTCTGTCAGCCCTGGGCAGATGACCTAGATATAAATATTTCACTAGAATAAAGTAGAATGCAAATACCCATTATATTTTTTTAGCATGTAGAACTACAATCATATTAATCTTTTGACCTCAGGTTGTTAAAACATTTTTCTTTAAGCTCTTCTGTGTCATTTTGAATTTCTGTTTTATGTACTATAAGAGTATAATAGGTTTCATAATATATAGAAGTAAGGTATATACACTCAAGTAACAGGTTAGAAATTTCATATAGTGAAGGACTAGGTAATTACTTTATTTATGAAGTCTATCACAAGAAGCTGACATCAGACACTTTAGAACAGGACCTTATCTCATCATACTTATTTTATGCTAGAAATATTGGACCTCTTAATTTAGCTGGCACAACAGACAGAAATATGAAGCATAAACATTTTATCATATAAATTACTAGTATGAAACCTGTATAAATATAGAAATAAATCAGTGCCTGAGTAGCCTGACTTAATCTCCCCCTCCCAAGCTTTTGGACTAGTTAGAGATATGACAGGGAGCAGAACTCTAATTCACAGTGTGTCTTGCAGGTTGTAGCTGTGGCTCTGAACAGCACATCATCTCTTTGCTGAGCTGGTGGGAAAACCACACCTTATCCTGTAATAAGTGTGCTAAGAAAGATTCAAAGCTTTCACTAGACAGGAAATGAGCTCAATGCTAATGGAGAAAAAAAAAAAACCTCTGTAGAAAACCCTTAGAAGTATGCATTTCTTTGCAGTTCGGGTGTTGACAGTGTGATCTTGTGAAAGTTAAAGCTTTTTTGAAAGGTTTTTGAAGCAACTTTCATTAAATTAATTCCCATTGCCTATCAGGATCAGCCCTAAATCTCAAATGAAGGAAAATCAAAGGTACCATACTGTGTGCTCAATCACAGCTATAGTAAAGATATTTTTCTGTTAAGTTCTCAAAGTTACAGAGACAAAACAGAGTCAAAGAACTTTTGGACCAAGAAAGAAGAGAAATGAGGGTTGTTACTGTTCCTAACTGGAATGGGACTATTGGGCAGCCCAATAATTGTGACAAGTGAATACAGAGTTCTTTACACTGAATAGCATTACATTTGTAGGTATTTGTTCTATATATATTCATGTGTTCAAAATGCTTCAGTATTTTATAAGAATTACTGACATTTCTTGGAAAGTCAGGCCATTATTAAAAGAAAAAAATTCAATGAGATGGAAATGAGCATGGTGCATATTTATAATAAATGTATGTGTGTGTGTATGTGTGTGTATATAAAATAAAGGAGTTAAAATGCTAGATTTTGCCTCAGACCTGCTAGGGGAGCAGGTGCTACCCCTACTGTAGGGTTCTGTGCTGTGTGCGGCCTCAGAGCTTTTGGTCTATCTGCTGGCCACCCTCTTATGTTCTTAGCACACCAAGCCTTTTTGCAAGATACCATGGAGACATAGCAGTTCCTTCCCATGGCGGGATTAGCTCATTACTGTCATGTACAGAGACAAATAGGATCACTTTTGAACATGATATGTTTGAATAGAAATTACACTTAGGTGTGGAATAGCTTTCTTTAGTATAAGCTGCCAACAGCTGAAACAGTAGATTGCTTTTTATGGTTCTCAGTACTTGGAAGCTTGGAGAGTTTATGCTCATTCTTTGTTACTTTTAGTGACATTTTCTGGTACCTCCAAAAGAAATGTATGAACTAAGTTTTAGAGGAGACAGTGAAATTTCCTAGTGTCTCTTTTTATTTAGATTTCATGAAAATACTGTAGAAATTACATGAAGATCAAAAAGCTAGAATTTGCTTTAGAGCCTAGAAATATTATGTATTTCATCAAGCTTGTTTTTATGAGGTGGTATTGAAAAGTTTTGTAGGTTTTAAATCTTGCATTGTCCTAGAGGCAGAGAAATAGTAAATCTACCTCAGCTCCACCCTAAAGTGTTTTTAATTTGATTTGTAACAAAAAAATAGAAAGCTGAGAGTCAAAAAAAAAAAAAATGACTGCGCAAATTTGGCCAGAGAATTTCCAAATAAATAAAATAATAAAATAACTTCAGCAATTTGATATGATGGTAATAAAGTTTAGGGATTTTTGTAAATCTTAGCAGTGGATGCAATCTTTCTTTCATTCCAGGAAAGCTGTAAAAACCTGTCCCATGACGACCCACTGTGCTAACAAAGTAGAATTATGACGTTTGATATACAGAAGAGGTTTACTAGCCATTGGAGTGATTTAAAAGAAAGTAAGTTTTTCTTTCTGTGCTGAAAAGCATGATTTTGATATCTAAGCTAATCTTTTTACTCCTATAGTGACACTGAGACGAAGTGAGAACAGACTTAGGGATGCACTGCTCATTTCCAGTATGCAGTAGTTTGGTCACCCCAAAACCTAAATCAAGGCACCTGACTAATAGGGTACTGTATGGGTACTGATTGTATTCTCCCTGCATGATAGTAAAGTCCCTTCAGGACTGGGTGGCTAACTGCAGTGCTGAAGTGTCAATGGCCAAGTGTCTCCCTGGAGCTCACTTCCAGTATTGAGCTTGACCTCTTTACTTGTGTGAAAACTGTGTTCTTCAGTAAGGTTTTATCTACTGCTAACACCTCAGGCTGAGATCAGTTCTAGCCTAATGTCACAGGAAAAGAGACAAGCTGTGGGCAATGTGGCTTAATTCAAATATAACAGTATTAAAGCAATTATCCTGTCATGGGGAGCAGAGGAAAGCAGCCCTGACTCAATCAGTGAACTCTTTTTGAACAGATATCAAAAGAAGGACTAAAGGGGAACATTTTCTCTCTGCTGATATGATGTGACCACGAATCCTTAAGAGACTTCTGCTGACTTTGTATTCACCTAAGGCTCACAAAAGAATTAGATTTCTCCTCAAGGGGAAAAAATACCAAAATTACCCAAAAAATCAGTCAATCAGCAATTCCCTCCAGTGTATGTCCTCTTTCTCTTTGGCAATGCAGGGATTGTCGAGTGCTTTTCTTTCACGGTCCTTACTGCATGCAGTTCAGGCTAATCGAAGTATTTCATATATGGTTTTCTACTAATAACCCCTACTGTATAGCTGGATACATGCAGAGACTCCTTTTGACTATCTAATTGCCTTTTTTTTTAGCTAAAAAATAAATTTAGCTAAATATATGATTAGTATACACTCTAAGTGTAGCAAGCTCATTACTAAACTCAGGCCAACCAAAAAAAGAAAATCTTATTATTTCATTCCATACTTCCCAATCAACAAATATATATTTTTTTCACATGGTTATAACTCTTCACCAAGTTTTTTCATCAGCACCTTAGGCACAAGTTTAATTCATCATGACCAAAGTTTGGCCCTATTATTCTGTGAATATCAGAAAGTGTAGTATACTTAAACATTTTTTTATTTGTCTTCTGTTGTCTGCAAATTTAAGGAGGTGTCTAAAGAAGACATAGACATGGATCTCAACTATAAGGAGCCCAGAAGAAAACTTAGACAACAGCAGGTACTAGAATTTGAGGAGAGATAACAGCACTTTTATGTCCCATTTGTAATGGTAAAACTGATGTTTCTCCTCTGTCTCTGTTACCAAGAAACTTTGCTCCCTAAATGCAAACGCTATTTGACTGCTGTCAATTTATTGGCAAATCTGAAAGGAAACACCTGTTTTGTCAACAGCTTTTTCTTTACAGTGGTAAATACATGTCTCCAACAAGACCTCAGGTTGGGTTATGTTTCTTGAAGACAGCCATAATGATGAACCAGGAATCATCACCACTAGCATATTGTTACTATATTTGGTATATGCATGTATTCACTCATTATTTACCAAACCTGACATGCCACCATACTACCTTTAATTGTTACAAATTATTTGAGAGGTAATACAGTTGGAAAATAAGAGCAAGAGTGGAAAAAAAAAATTCTCTTACACTTCCATGTTACATCCTTTCCCCTGCAGTTTTGGGGTTTTTTTGTTTGTTTAGGGTTTTTGTTTATTTCCTTTCCATGTTTTTAATATGTAGAATTTCTTGAATTATATTCCTGAAAATAAACTGAAAAAAATTTAGAGACATAAATAAGTGCATGCTCCTGAGTCATCTGAGTTTGTTGGAGACAAACACTCTAAAAATATTTTTGACTGTTTTTTTCCAATTCCACTGATTTGGGAATTCTTTAAAAATATTCAACAAACAAGTGCTCTTAATCAGTGGAACAATGAAGCAATATATGACACTACACTAGGCAATCATGCTTCATAATCAACAATGAATCCAGAATGTTTTGCTTACCTGATATCTGTGATAGCTATAAATAACCAGGTGGGATGATGAATTATATATAAGAAAGCTACTGTTTTGCTTCTCATGAGAAAAATTCTCTGAAACATTCTAATTCGCTATGAGCCTCTTCAATGTCATCTTCATCTTCAGAATTAGTATCCTTGACACACTGTCAGATATTATGTGCATTTGGAAGGATGTTCCTCTAGAATTGCTTTATCACAGACTGCCTTTTACAGTCTTCTCTATTGTGAAACTCCATAAACCTCATACAGTTCTCCCCCCACACTGCACTGCTTGAGAAGCTTTTATTGTCAGTCAGATATCTCTCTCTCTACTTTCTGCTGCCAAATAGTAATGCTGAAAATTGCATTTGAGATGTCCATCTCCTCTTTTTTTTCCTTTCTGGAAGAACAGTAAAGTATGATATTAAAATCTGTGAATGCCAGAAAACTGTTATTTATCTGTGTTTTTCAGTACTCCATCTTCTGTAGAAACACTTGCTTCTATCCATGTCTCCTCTGTAAGCCAAATATATATATGGGACAATTTTTTAGCATTTCCAGACATGTCAAATGACAGTAAAAATTGAACTGGAAAAGCATTTGGTCTCAAGTTTTCTCTTCTAAATCTTGTTTTGAGCTTGGAAATTTGTAACATTCTTTTCATTCAGGTGTTCCCATGTTACTATCAAGGCATGACAAGAGATTTTCTTGTATTTGCTTTTGAAAGTAATGTGTGCTCTTGGAGTATCTTGCTCTTATATTGACTATTTTTGCATTTGTTCATTTTAACATTACCGACTCTTTTCAAGTCTTACAGCCAATTTTTTGCCTCTCCACTTTTACAGCTCCAATGTTCATTGATGCAATTAGAAAGGACTAATTTCCATATCTTTAGAATCCAGGATTGTAGAGGGAAATGAAAGTGCTTGGATACCAAGGACAGAAAAAAAAAGGTAAATCTCCATGCTGAACCTCGAGGTTCTATAGTTATACCCCCAAAAATAGTCTTTTTCAAGCTCTATGATGAGTTAATAATAGAAAGTCTGCACTAGCTTTTTATAGAAGGTAAGGAGCAATGGCTAATATTTTCGGTGGAAAGAGGTCCTGTGAGAAGTATGAAGTGAGATTTGGTGAAATAACCTAGGTAATTTTAATCTAAAGCAGAATTATTTATGAAAAAAAGAGAACACCATAAATTAGTATTGAGTGGCTAAGTTTTTTAGAGCATGTTTAATTTTTTTTTAATAAAATATTGAAGAGTTATGCAAATGTAAAAGTCTTATTGCAGTGGTACTCCATCATATGCCAGTAAACTTCCAAAATCAGGATTTTCATTACAGTTGTTTACATCATTATTTTAAGTTGTTTATAATTCATCAGTACAAATTCAATGCAGGCTAAATCATAGTGTATAACTTTCTAATCCACAGAAAACATTTCTTCCAGTAGATTGCATTTATCAAGTTACAGGATCCATACCAAAAATTTTGATATGGACACTGTTTGCTACTTTCTCTTCTTCTTTCTTTGAGACATGTTATCTTTCTATTGAAAAAAAAAAACAGAAAAAGAAAATAAAAAGCCTTTTAAAACAGCATATCTATTTTCTCTATTAGCTATAATAGCTAATGTAGTACTAGAATAGCTTGCCCTTGAATATTCTAGAAGACATTCTAAATCCCCCTAAAAATGGAATTTGAAATTTATTATTTCAGGCAAACTGGAACAATAACTAAAAAGAAAAAAACAAAAAAAAACAACCAACCAACCAACCAAACCCAAGAGCAGAAGCAAACTTGGTAAGAGGCAATTAGTTCAATTCTCTTTTAAGTTATCAGATCCTCCAGATAAATCCATTGCTCTTGCTGCAAGTGCAAGAAAAAGAGTGTCCCCATTGCCCTCATCTGGCATTTCATTGAAGGGCTCTACTGCTCTCCTTTAGCCCACATGATTGTATTTTATTTGTATGGGAACCAGGAGCTGCAGAGATGGAGTAAGTCTGAACCACCACCAGTCTTTCAGGCTGGGTTGCAAGAGCATTGTCATGAGAGTGCCTGGACCAGACAACATGGATATGTTTCTGGATACAATATTATAGATGTCACTTACAATGTGAATGTTTTATTGGATACATGAAAAAACCCATTCCACTGCTGTGAATAATTAGGGTTAAATTGTTAAATTGTTGTGAATAATATATATGCGCACATTGATGTCATTCACCCTCTTAAAGAAGAAATCACTTGCATGACATTAGGAAGAACTATTTGGTTCACTCTGCATGTCTATTACTAGAATGTCATTGAAAGCAGACGCGTTTTGCATTGTAATCTGAGAGTAATTAAGCTCAGTAATGAATACAGAATAGCGTTGCAGCTTTTCCTCATGGGCTCCATCAGCCACAGTGTTTCCTCTCAGCACAGCTGCTGTGATCATGAACAGAAAGGGATGATTCTTGTGATGTATCAGTCAAACACTCTCATTGTTATTAAGTCTCAAAGGCAATAACATAAAGTCTGAGGTGGATTTAAACTCCAAGATTTGATTTATACCAAGTACTTTTTTAAAATACAAAACTCAAAAAATCATGCTGCAGTTCATCGCTTCTTGTTGCAATGAGGTACTTGTTTATGTTTCTCAGGAGCAGGAGCTCAAAGAAGCAATGGAATTTAAAATGGTAATTGTAAATGGCCTCATGGAAAGAAAAATAGTTTTAGGAAGAAGTAAAAATGAGGAGTATGCATAATCTTAGTAGCGAAAAACTGCTAAGCTAACAGTAAAACTTATTACATCTTTGTTTTATGACAACATGACTGATGCAGCAAGAATAATATTTAATTCTGGTCTTTGTTCAGTTTACAGAGATTATGATATTAATGGCTATCACAACATAACTTTCTTCTCTGATACTGTAGTTTAAAAATATTTCATAAAAGACATGCAAAGAACTTTGAGATGTCTGTAATATGATGGGACTACTGTATGTGCTATTTCATAATTATTTAGGAATAATTCAAGAAGGAAAAACTGCGTTCAAGTGGAAGTGAAGAAGGCGGTCTGGTGAGAGGTGCTCTAAGAGTACCTGAGAGAGTTCATATGGATGTGATGGTAAATATTGATAAAATCACAGCAAAACTGCATCTTGTCTCCAAATAAATTTAGGCTCAAAATATTTATTGCTTGCCAATGAATGTGTTCGAAGAATATACACATTTTTTAACAGTAAGAATGAACCTGTAATGTACTCATGATCGTAGTGGTCCCAGAAGCATACAAGCTGGAGCCTCCTAGAAATAGGCCTGGCCTATTGTAGTGATTGTAGTTCTTTAAGTTGCGGTTGGAACAAAAAAACCCAACAACTAAACTGCTTACTTCCTTAAACAATAATCATGCATAAATTTCCCTTTTTTTCTGACATTCTACTTGCATGTGTGACCTTGTGCCTCTATAGAATATAATTTCAGGAAATAAAGATGTAGTCTTTGTTTATTGCACAAAATTTTATACAATGATATCAAGTAACACACCAAAATCTTCCCTGTTGCATCAGTTTCTCCTACATTCTTAGTTTGATTCCTTTTTCTCTGCTGCCTGTTTAAATTCAAGCAGGAGTTGTGCTATAATAGATCTCACACTGAAGTGATTACCTTTACCATTTTGACCGGTAGTGACAAGAATTACCTAGTGCAAATAACTTTTATTCTTATCTTTTACCTTATCACTGTTTCTTCAGGCAAGCAGAGTGAAGGGGTCTTCATGCAATAGAGAATGAGGTCCAATGAGTTGCACTTTGAATGATATTTCGATTTTTTTTTTTAATGGAGCAAGGAATACTGCAAAGCTGAGTTCGACATGTACCAGTCTGAAACTGCTCCAGTCTGAAAACTGTCCTGTCACAGTACTGAAACATAAATGCATTTTTTACTAGACCCAAGCTGAGCCACTACAGTTCATTGTTTATTAGTACTAAAAGAAGTTTGAAGCAACTGCTTCATTTTTCAGTTGTTATTATAATATATATATATTTTTAAGTTTAAAAGTCAAGGCTGCTTTCGTTAATCTATCCTAAATATACTTTCCTGTTTGTCTGCATTGCTGTCAGTGTTCACTAAATCATGTATGATTGTAGAGGTCTTCTTGAATGGCAAATCTACAATGGCTGGATGGATGCTCATTGACGTGTATAAACATGCATATGAATTCCATCCCATTGGCGTATATAATGCAAGGACTATTGAAACTTAGGAGAATTTTATTCCTGGTTTGCTAGTGGTCTATTGAAAGGCTTAGGGACAGCTATTTCACCACTTTTGTTTCCTTTTCTCAAGAGCTGAGCTAGTGCTATTTATCTCCTTCCTAGAGCACTCTGATATCTTCAAGAAAAAGAACTATAAAATATATGCTATTAGTAAAATTAAAAAAAAGTTACAAAGTAAAATATAAGTAAAAAAACCAAAAAAATTCCAGTTGTTACTGGATCTGCCTGATGTGATAGAAAACTTAAGGAGGTTGTCATAAGGAAATGTCAGCCTTATAGAAAATTGAAAGCTTGTCTAAATGAAAAGAAAAAGAAAGCCCATAAAATATGGCAGCTTGAGCTTAAAGACAAAGTCCAAAAACTAGAACAGAATTAGAGAGTGGTTCGCAGAGAATGCTCAAGTTGCTAGTAAGTAGTTGTTTACTTCTTCATCAGATATAAGAAGACAAATAGGATAATCGATGACCAGAGTGTAACAGGGTACTCAGGGATGAATAAGACAGAGCAGAGTAGTGCAACAAATTTTTGTATTAGTCTACTGCTTAAGTCTTTGATAATTACCACTTCCTCACTATTTTTACAGCAGAGGGATCAAAGGAGTTAGGTACATTTGTTGTGAGTATACAGGAGGAATTAGACCAAACAGAAAAGTTAGGTAAGTTTCCAGAACTGGATGATGTTTGGGAGAAATCTTTGGAGTAACTCAGATGTGAAACTGCAGAGCATCTGGCAAAGCCTTGTAAACTTTCACTGTAAACAGTGCAATGCAATTTCTACTGTGCTAGAAGAGTAACTCCCATTACAAAATAAAAAAGTCTGGGAGCCACAGAGGGGAACCTGGAAACTACAGACTGGAAAATCTGATTTCTGTATCTAAAAGGCAAGGCTATTGAGCAAATGGAAAAGCACAGGATGTTGGGAAAGACTCAGTATAGCTTCGGTAAATGAAAATCTTGACTCACATACTTGGTCTAGCTCTGTGTCTGACCGAGCAAGGGCACTTATTATTCCTTTTGTTTTATGAAAAAAAAAAGGTAAGTGTCCTCTCTCTAACAAATCACTCCAACTGATTTGATTCTCCTCCATGGTTCAGAGCATCTGTAGGATGCTGGTAGAGTTCCTTTTTCTTTCCCTCTAATGTGTGAGTAACCTTGAGCCTCAGTCTCCTGATGATTTGCAAGCCTCTCTTAACTGCCTTGCAGATGGCCATAGCTGGACAGGAGATCCTTTGCAGATGCATTACTGTTTCAACAGGTTTTGGGAAATTCCCATGGCTGCTTGGTACAAAGTGTCTTGCTCATGTGCTTAGTTAAATGGATACTCAGGTTTGTCAAGAAGGACAGATTTTTTCCTGCCTTCCTCTATGGGTTGGTTTGTAGTTTACTGTGTAGGCTACTTTGAGTAAATTCCCTATTCTTCTGTGAGCCTACACTCTCATGCACACAGAAACACACACATACACATACAAAGAAACACACAGAGTCTCTCATAAAATTGTAACCTGTCCTGGGTAATAGTTTGTCAGTACAAAAGGACATTAAGAAATCAGGCATTGGGAGCATGGGAGACTGAGGCAGGCAGGAAAATCAGGCTGGAAAAGTAGGCAGGGCACTCACAGCTTGGATGTGAGATAATTCCCATTATTTTCTTATGTGGAATTCCCATTCCCATTTTCCCTCCAGAGATTGTGTTAGTTTCTAGGCAGTTTTTTAAACTTTTGTCCTCCGCCCTCCATTCTTCAAACTACATACTGTGCAACACTACTAAGTGATACTTACCCACATGGTGGCAGGTGTGTTATCCTGCAAAATCAGATGGATTTTTTCTTTGCTTGGCTGCTTCCTCTTTGTCATGTACATAACGGTCTGTTCTCAAGGTTGCAATTCTTCTGTGACCAGTAATTGCCATCAATGAGTACTTTACAGTCATGGGTATTCAATCATGTTTCAAGCCCTTTCCTGTCATCTTGTGCTTGAACTCCTCAAAGGACACTAGGTACCAATGTCTGGGTCACATAGCAAGTTCTCATAACAGATTGATAGCAGGCCAGGTCTGGGGCCTTTAAGTCAAAATTAACCTCAGTGCTTTTGCATATTGCTGTCAATAGCAATACGATTCTTACAGTGTAACTTTTTTATAATTGCATCAGACTTAGGTTTTGCAGCTTCTAGCACTTTACATTGAAGGATCTATGTTGATTATAGAGTTTTGCAAGTTGTAGGTGGGTCTAGATAAAGCATGTATTTCATGTTTTAAATAACCATGACTGACTGCAGCCATTCAAAATTTAAGCATTTACAGCGTATGCTACACAACTAATCTATAAAACAACCTCAAAGAAACATTCTTATGAGGCACTAGAGAACGTACCAGCATCTCCATGTATCCAGAAAGCCTATATTAAAAGAAAGAATGTTTGTAAATACTGTGGGTGAGGAACACCTTAAAAACTGTTGAATAAAAAGTTTTCATCAGAAAGTGAGTCTTGCCAACATATTTGAAAGAATCCTTCCACAATGAGTTTCTACATTTAGCTATCTTTCTAGGCTACGTCTGCATTAATGAATGTAGCACAAGTGAACATGTGAAGGAATGAGGATGTCATGTTCCCGCTATCTGCATTTATGTGTTATGGAGGTTGTTTCACATTATCTAGAATCTGGTCTTGTGAACTGAATGCCAAGAAACTGGAGAACTAAAAATCTCCGGAACTATTATAATTTTTGTTTAGGTTCACCTGAAAGGAATTCAGACACTATGAGACCCTTTCGCTTTACCCTGAGATGATCTAAATCTTAGTAAATGGAAGATACAGGGACATGTCCTTCAAAAGAGCACCCAATATCTAAACTAAAACGCTTGCAAAATGTGATGATATAAAACTGATAGTTAAAGAATGTACATACTTATGTTACGTACAGAACACAATATATGCTGAAAAGGTTGATGAAAAACAAGTATAAACTGCAGATTTGACATTTCTTGGTTAACTGTCCTTCCCCACCCCCCAAAACCCCCAAAATTAACAACTTTTCTAAAAACAGATTATTCTTTAAATATTAGCTTTTCCTTACCAGAAATTCAGTCTGGTAATAACTTGATCACAAAAGTCATTGCAGTGTTGCTTAGCAGACAAGCTTTTGTCCCAGAGGAAAATTTAGTTGATTTACATGAAATATTATTTTTGAATATGATTTGTATCCTAGATAGCACACATTAGTGTAAATGCTGTTCCCTGTTTGACATAATCCTCCTCAATGTTATTTTGTTTTAATCTACTCTTGCTTCAGTTATGTAGCGATAGGGTAAGTGGTAATGGTTTTAACAAAAAGAAGGCAGATGTAGATTAGATAGAAGGAAAAATTCTTTACTATGAGGGTGGTGAGACAATGGAAGAGGTTACCTAGGGAAGCTGAGGATGTCTCATGCCTGGGAGTGTTCAAGACCAGGTTGGATGGGGCTTTGATTAACCTAATCTAGTGAAAGATATCCCTGCCCATGGCAGGGGTTTGGAACTAGATGAACTACACTATACAGAACTTATTTTTACAATATTGTCTCTGGAGTTAGCAGGCAGGAAGTTATAGAGGGTATGTGGCAATAGTTCAGCTGGGGAATGGACTATTTTTTGCCATTCTCTTTCATTGTTCTGACTCAAATAATTTGACAATGTTTCTGGTCTTAGAAAATCCGATGCTTGGAATAAATGATTTTCTGCAATATGAAACATACTTCTCATTTAGATCACCCTCAACATAAAGAAATGGAAGAGGGCAAATGAGAAAATGCCTGGGGTTTGCAAGATGAATAAAAGTAAGAAGCACTTTTCATGGGAGTGTGGAGTTAACCTCAGCTGGCAGGTAAGACCTCAACCGCTCTCTTGCTTGCTCCATTGCAGTGGAATGAGGTGGAGAATTGTAAGGGCAACAGTGAGAAAACTCATGGATTGAGATAAAGACATTTTAATGTGTAGAGGTGAAGAAAAAAATCAAAAAACAGAAAAAAACAAGTGGTGCAAACATGATAACTTACCATTAGCTAGCCAATGCCTACCAGCAGTTACTTGGGAAAAATTCTCCCCTGGTTTTATTTTTGAGCATGAGGTTATATGGTGTGGAATCTCTCTCTTGTCAGTTTGGGTCAGCTGTTCTGCCTGCAACCTCTCCCAGCCTCTTGCCAATCCCCAGTCTACTTGTGATGGCAGAGTGAGAAACAGAAAGTCTTGTCACCATGCAAACAATGTTCAGCAATGGATAAAACATTGTTATGTTTTCAATGTTGTTTTAAGAATAGAATAGAATGGAATAGAATATTTCAGTGGAAAGGGACCGACAATGATCATGTAGTGCAGCTCTCAATTGTTTGGTCACAGATCTGAAACACAGCAACATACCTGCTGCTATGAAGAAAATTATCTCCATCCCACTAAACCCCAGTACCATATGAATAGTGTTTTAAGAGATGAGGACTCCTCCATTCGTAAAACAGCTGAGGGATAGGTTGGCATGGAGAAATGTAACAGGGTACAATTATTTCCTTTTTCTTTCAACAGTCCAGTGGAGTGTCAGATGAAATGGTCAGGCTGCAGGTATAAATCAAAGAAAAGGAAGTGCTCTTACACACAGTATGAAGGAAAAGTCTGGAACTCATCTCCAGAGGCTCCTGTGGAGGTTCTCTCTGCAAATGGATTTGAAAAACTCTTAGGCAAATTTATAGAAGAAAATCAATCAAGGGCTACAAAACAGGGTGCAGATGCAGCTTTTAACCAAAAAAAATCCCCAAATGGCAGACTGCTGGAAACCAGAGAAGTAGGGAGAGAAAGTATCAATCTCTACTTTTGCTATTTTTAAGCTCTCTCACCATATGTTTTGCACAGGTCCTTTTCAGAAATGGGATATGGGCTACATGGACCTTTGCTCAGATGCCTTGTTTTCTTCTCTGCTTTATGTTCTTATCATTAGTCTGCAGTTCATCTGAGGTTATACTTTTCCAGTGACATACTCTGAGTAGAGGAGGCCATGGAAGATAGAAACCAGGGTTTCCTGACAAAGATGAATAATTTAAAATGTTTCTTACCTACTCTATTGATTTGTGTCAGAGGGTGTTCACAGTTTCTTCAAAACCTTCATTCCTTATCTGGAGTCTGTGATGGTCCCTGATGACATTCACCCCTCTCATCTGGCAGGTCATCCTGGTCAGGCAAGGAAGTGGTGATTCTGATTAAAGATGCAATGAACCAGTTGATTTTAATTAGAGGAGGTTGGAAAACACTCAGTTTTAGTCTGCTGCTTTCATTTTAGACAGTTTATCCAATATCTAAATTAAAACCAGCAGGTATCTGATCTGAAAATAAATTGTTTTTCCTTAAATCCAAACCTTAGTGCTTTGGTGTTACTTTCCCTAATGCTTCAGTCTGAATTAGTGGGAATCACCACATCAAATTCTGTTTTGGAATTGTAAAACTTGCTGCACTGTATTGTTCTCTGAGGGTGGCGTATGGGTTTCAGTGAGGGCTTTTAGACAATTGTTTCTAATAAGGAAATACATCCAGTTAAAACAACTGTTATTTGAAAGTTATTTTCATTACTATGTTGAAAACACGGAGTTAAAGACTGAAGTGGGGCCCATTTTAAGATGACTTTGACCATAACGATGTCGGATTATATGCAAAGTATTTTACACGTATCTCTTCCTCTATTGTATTTTTTTATTTGTATGTTTAATTATACCATCTTGAATAAAATTAAAATTCTCTTGGAAATCCATTATTTTTAACCAAGAAAGAGTTCAATCTGAATTTAAGACCATACCTAACAATATGTTTGTCAGATTATCAATTTTTGAATTTGTGCGATGAAGTAGCAGCAGTATTTAGGCTTTACATTAATAATAACTAAATTGATAAAACCTTTTAAATATAAATTTTTTTTCTTCACTTAAAATTGGGAGTACAGTTGGAATCCACAGTTCCTCCATAAGCCAAGACACTGAAGACATAATAGCTAAAACAAGCAGAG